TTGTCATAACCTTCGGAGATCAGTGTGTTGAGACGACTGAGGTTGCGCCACGACATTTCTTGCTCATCATTGTCGTAGACGACTCTAATAATCTTGAACTCACTGCTCTCAACGCCTTCGTCCTAGTCAATAACTATAACAACCTGTTCAGTGTGCTTTTAAGGCAGCGAAGTTAATCCAAGATAACTGTTCGTGCGAATGAGTGGGGATTTGAGATCATCTCGGCTGGCGATTGGCCTCGCAGAGTGGAGGCCTGTGTCGGAGTATAGAGCAGAGCTACGGGATTAGTTCGTGCGAATAAACACGATGCACAAAATTGCTATCCTCCAAATCTCAGCATGAACATGAACTGACCTCACTCGTTTTTTCGTCTCAAAATGAAGATCAATGTTTTGTGCACGATCATTGTTACGCTGTTGATGTGAGTCGCTATCAAAGTGGATTTGCTAGCAAAAAATAACAGGTTTTACACCTGTCACGATGTGTAATTTAACCAAACTGATTTGCGAATCTGCCTCAATTCTTATCCAACAATGCTCTCAACCGCAGCTTGAATGTTCACAAGCATTGAGTTGAATAGAAAATCATCCTGTCCTATGACAAACATCATCAACAGATAAAATGATTTATTTTGAGAAAATTTTCATTGACCAGTACATTCAGATAGAGGGCTTTGATTCATAACCATCCTCATTCTTCAATATGGCGATTAGAATCTGCAGCAACGATAAAGACTCATTGGTGTTTGCGGATTCAAAAAACAGCACCTTCACCGTTTCTTTAAGAGGGTGGCGCTGGTCGTTGACTGGAGCGCATCTGCCTCTTTCGTCTGGTGCGCGCTTCTGGCCTTAACGTTCGTCGGCTTCTTCGCTGTCTTCGATTCACCCTACGGCGACGAAGTCGACGCTGTTCTTGAAGCAATAATGAGCCAGCGTGTTCCCCGCTGTCCTTGATGCTGACTCGACCAGGGCTTGTGTGGCTCACATGTGCCAACCACCCCCACAAACTGTCCCGCGGTGTCGACATCCTTCAGCA